AAGTTCATCTATGATGAAGATCAATAATGAATAGGGAAGGAATCTTCTGTAGTCATTTGCAACATTCTACAAAACAAAGTAAGAAAGAAAGAAGGCCACCCCATAGTCAGGGAAACAAAGGTTACAGCTGCCTGTGGGTGTGACCAAGGTCCCAAAATTACACTCCCTTAATGCTCAAAATATTTCAAATTTCAGTCAGCTTAGATTTTGAATTATTCATTTTCACAGTGTCATTGCAAACATGACTGTGGGACTTCAGTTAATTCACTTCTAGATATTTGATTTCTGCCCATGGAGAACAGTAGGCTGCAGACTTACTCATTTCCACAGAAAATAAAGGTGCATTTTTAACTAACATTTCTTTTCTCTAAGAGAAGAGAAAATCTTGGATTTTTTTATATCTGAATTTCCCAATGCTGTATCAAAAAGTTGACAACATTATCTCAAGGGGTGAGACTGAAGGAAGAAGGAAGATATGATTAATTTGCCCTCAACATTTCTAAACTGTCTTACTGTCACAAAAAAAGTGCTACATTTAAAAATCATGTCACTGGGCAGCGCCCGTAGAACAGTGGTTACGGGGCTGGCCACATACACCCAAGCTAGCCAGTCCCAACCCAGCCCAGGCCAGCACAACAACAATGACAACCGTAACATTAAAATTACTGGGTGTTGTGGCAGGTGCCTATAGTCCTAGCTACTTGAGAAGCTAAGGGTGACATAGTGAGACTCTGTCTCAAAAAAAAAAAAAATCACATAACTAAAATTTTAAAAAATTAAATCAACCAATAAGTTTCTGATTAGAAATTAGATTGCAATATAGTGCTGCTTTTGCTTCTCCGCCCTCCAGATAAAGAGGAATAACCAAAGTATCAGAAAGATATGCTCCTTTTGTTGGCACCCAACCAGGTTTATCTGTCCATTGCCTAAGAGAAAGCCAACATCCAGACACAGCAGGGATTACAATATGGGAGGAATGACTGAAATCTGCCTCTCCATGAATTGGGGAGACAGGGTTTTTTAAGTCTGTTTGGTGGGCATAGCATTAGACACTCAGGGTCTGCTAATTATCTGGCTTCAAGGTCCTTTGTTATGAGCCACTGTCTAGGAGGGTCAGCCCATCCACTGGAATGCAGTTCCTTGGGTGAGTGGGGTGGGAGGGGTCCAAGACCAATTGAATCAGTTCCTTGGTCTGGGTGGGTCAGTTACTGGAATGCAGAACCTGAAAGATATCTCAAAAACTGCCCTTAGGGTCCAAACAGGTGATGTACTATAATGGAAAAAGTTAAGAATCAATGGCTACCAGCTGTGCCCTCTACAGTGGCAATTATAGAGAAGCAAACAAGGGGACAGTGACTATTATCAAGTAAAGGAGGGGACAGTGAATGATTATTATCACTATTTTAACTGAGCCTGCTTTATCTCAGGATTTTGGTAGCTTTTGCCTTGTACCCCTTCATCACTTTGTAGGGGTGGTTTCACTCTTATCTGGATTAATTCTCACTTTACATTTGAGGTAGCCTAAAATGAAGCCCCAGATTATCTGAGACATTGGGACTCTAAGCTCACTGAACAATGGCTATAATTGTTTGTGCCTTTACCTTTTCAGAAAAATAAATTCAGCAGACTTGGACTTCAGGTAGAGAACAAGTTTGAGGAGAATTTCAAAAACACTTTCTCAATTCAGGAAACAAGCAAGAATAATTCTTGATTCAAGCCTATTTTCACTTCCTCACTTTGGATCTTGCAGCAGCTGGGGACATAATGTGTCCCACTGGTCCCTGCATATTCCTCTGCAAACATCATTATCACTCTGCAAATTCTCTTATTGAATCGTTTGGAGAGAAAGTTACAATTGAAAATATGAAGTCTTTCTGTAAAGGATGATATTATATCCTTCCATTTATTCAAACCTTTTATTAGGTTCTTCGGTAATGTTTACTCTTCCCCTTCCCACACAGGATCTTGTTTCTGGGTTTTTTGTTTTTTGTTTTTTGCTTTTTTTCACTTTTCAAAACTTATGGTTATCACTGTGACAGTGATCCTTTTCCTATTAAATTGCATTGCTGATTATTGTCTATTGTAGAAGGCTACTGTTATTTATATATTTTTAGTTACTGATTACTTAACCAAATACTAGATAGTATTTTAGGGGGTGGGGGCCTTTGACCTTGTAATATCAGGAAGCCTGTGGTAAGTATGTAGCATCTCCAACTTCAAATTCATGGAACTGTGATTGGTACAGCTGATGGAGGTATTCCTTGCCTGGCAAACCTCTGACAGTTCTTGGTTCTGGTGGGGAATGTCTCTGCCAGAGCTTCGTGATGTACTTGTATGTTGAAGAGGGGTGAATAATGTCTTCTTTACTTGTCTATCTTCTTATCTAGGGCCCCTGTAACAAAAATAGACTAACAAGAGAAAAACAAAGAGATGTTTATTAATATATACACATACATGCACACACACATGCCCACTTGGAGATAGCCAGGAAAATGAATAACTCTCCAAAAGGAGACTCAGAATTCACACTTAAATACCATCTCTCACCAAGAACAAAAAAGGAAGGGTGTGCAAAGGCCAGTTAAGAGGGTGACCAGGAAAAGTGTGGCAAATAAGAATATGGTTTGTGATACAGATGTAAGGTATCTTCTCCATTGATGAGGGTCTCTTGTGATTTAGTGTCATCCTCCTCTTCCTGGGATAGAGTGCCCAAAAACTTAAAAATGTAGGGAGAAGAAGTTTCACAATATATACATATATCAAAACATCACACTGTATACCCTAAATGTATATAATTTTTGTCAATTATATCTCAATAAAGTTGGAAGAGGAGAAAGAAATAAGGAAGGAAAGAAAGAAAGCAAAAAGAAAGCCATCAGCATGGCCAAGGAAAGATGCAGTCTCAGAAAAGACCTAAGAGACCTCAGACTTTCTTCAGGCTGATCTCAACACAGAAACATCTTTAGGCTCGGTGCCTGTGGCTCAAGTGGTTAAGGCGCCAGCCACATATACCTGAGGTGGCAGGTTCAAATCCAGCCTGGGCCTGCCAAACAATGATGGCTGCAGCCAAAAAATAGCCAGGCGTTGTGGCGGGTGCCTGTAGTCTCAGCGACTTGGGAGAGATAGAGGAGGGAGACTCACTTGAGCCCGGGAGTTGGAGGTTGCTGTGAGCTGTGATGCCACAGGACTCCACCCAGGGCAACAGCTTGAGGCTCTGTCTCAAAAAAAAGAAAGAAAAGAAACATCTTTAAACATGAAAGAAGAAAAAGGGAAAGAGAGAAAGTGATAGAGGGAGGGAGGAAGAAAGGAAGAAAGGAAGGGAGGAAAGTAGGGAATAAAAAAGAAAATTATGAAAACAATTTAATCTACAACATTATCTAACAAGTAAAGACTTAGGAATAAATCTAACCAAGGAGGTGAAAGACTTATGTAAAAAACTGTCCAAGACAGCTTAAATAAATGGAGAGACATTGCATGTTCATGGATAGGAATACTTAATTAACATTGTTCAGATGTCAGAACTATCCAAAGTGATCTACAGATTCAACACAATTCCTTTCAAGATTCCAATACCCTTTTTCACAGAAATGGAAAAGTCAATCCTAAAATTCATATAGAATTGCAAGGGTTCCTGAATACAATTTTGAAAAAAAAGAATGAAGTTGGAGGACTCACACTTCTTGACTTTGAAATTCATTTCAAAGATATAGTAATTAAAACAGTAAGGTACTGACAGAAGGACTAACATATGAACCAAAGAAATACAATAAAGAGCCCAGAAATAAATTTTCATGCATATATTTAATTGATTTTCAACAAGGATGCCAAAACCATTTATTATGAAAGGAACGGTCTTTTCTTTTCTTTTCTTTTCTTTTCTTTTTTTTTTTTTTGAGACAGAGCCTCAAGCTGTCCCCCTGGGTAGAGTGCCGTAGCATTACAGCTCACAGCAACCTCC